CATGCTAAAATGATTTTAGTATGAAAGACAAGGAGGACCTCAGGACTTTAGTTTACAGGATATCTCTGCTATATAAAGATGTCAGTGCAGTTGACTCAAATGTATGATTGATTTTCATGCCGAACCCAAAGTCTTCTCATGAGGGCTACTCATGTCACGTCATATCAAATCATGTCACAGACAAAGTAAGGAATGTGTTGTTGCAAATTGCAAAGTCAGAAGTGTCAGAAAAAGGTAAAAGACGGGGATCCTACACTGTCTGTGACGGGTATTCAAAACTGGACGAGTAAGATGAAACCAGAAAGGGACATGTGCAGTAGAGCATGGCATTCCTGGCAGAATATCTGTGCCTCTTCATCATCTCAAGGTGATTCAACAACAAAAGCCAACAGTGAAGAATGTGGAAAAGTGGAATCTGGACTTAGAAAAAGATTCTGTTCAGTCAGAGGAATTTTATTTCATTTACATTTAATTTAAAAAGATAAAATCCCTGCTGTATAAACAATTCAAAACAACAGTGCTTAAAGTAGCAAAATAGAAGAACTTATCATTCATGAATCATGACTGCACACTGTATTCATATTAGCTGTGAACTACTGCATTTCTTAATAAACAGAGCTGTGGGTGGCAGAACAAAAGGTACATTTCTTTTGTAATACACAGGAAAATCGTTGTTCCTTCCCACAATTAGACATGCCTTCCCAAAATATCCGTCAAAATAACAAAGCTTTCTATTGCAGAACAACAAGCTTCAAATTATCAAAGGAAAACTTAATTAGGCCCAGATATGTAATATATTCAAAGTAACAAATCAAAGATGCATGCGGAGCAGAGGAGACCATCTCCGCTCACTCTGAATGAATAATTAAGCCAGATGATATTTTGCTCATGTTTGACGCTGTGTGTGACTCTGGCGTATCCGTGCTGATCCAGTTGGGTTCAGAGTATTGTGGCCTGAGGGGGTGAGACGGCCGCTCGGAGCCCTGACCTCATCTGCTCTCCCTGACAGCCAAGAGCTCCTTGTATTTTAAGAGACCTCTAAATGGACTCACTGCTCTCAATGAAATATCCAAATAGAGCAGATTTTGCATGCATCCAAAGGACAGTCGCCTGATGGGGTTGCAGTGACATGATTTTGGAGCTCTCAGATTTTTATTTTTTTTTAATAACTTTCCACTGGTTGGACTATAATCCTGGATGACATTTATGTACCCATGAGCAATTGGATTTTAACAAGCTTATTAAAACTTATAGGGTACAGCTGATGAATTTAGACATCTCTGTCAGACAATAAAGTCTCTGCCATATTTGCATTATGATTCAGTTCATTTGAGATTAAAGGCTAGTAGAGTCCTTATAGTGTGCAACCAGTGGACACTCTGTTATCCCATAAACCCATCAGAGCTCAGCGGCCAACAGATATTAAAAAACAGTTAAGAACTGTGATCCAGGAAGTTCTTTTCAAGCGCTAAAGGTATTAGCACAAAGATATAAAAAAAATCAATAGTGAAGAATTTCGTTCTTCATCAAATTCGTACATACTGTACTATTAAGGTACACAGCCTAATATTGGTATTGCAGTTATTGATTTACTGATAAGTTAATCAATACATTAAAAAAAAATATATAAAAATATCTATATTAAAAATATAAAATGTTAATATTCTATATAAAATATTTTTTTAAATAATAAAGCGCCATAGGAAAATACTTAAATATTCATATGAAAGAGTTGATATTATAATATTTATGTAAAATATTGATGTTTTATAGAAAATATTTATTATTAATAACAATAATATTAATATAAAGTGCTATATTTATATTTAAAGAAAATTCAATGTAAATTTTAATCAAATTTAATGCATATTATGAAGGTAATTTGGATACAACCCACTGTTCCATAAAAAATATTTGACCAAATATTAGTTTGCAATTACTGATTAACTTATATTTCCTATAAATAAACTTTATATTAAATATTAAAATGTATATTTAAAAAATATTAAATATTAACATGTTATGTAAAATATTTAAGTAAAGTGTCATAGGCAAATATTTAAATATTAATATTAAATATTAAAATATTTGTATAAAATATTAAAGTTTTATATAAAATAATTTAAAATAATAAATAAAGTGCTATAGGTACAATACCAATAAAGTTCAAATATTGACATTGGAGAAGTAAGTTCTTCATCAAATTCAGTACATACTATGAAGGTATGTGAATTTGGACACAACCCATAAAAATAGAGTAATACAGATAAGTCTTTCACTTAACAACAGCATGGTGTCTTTAAACATCGGAGTGTGCTGTTTTTAAACATCTCCGGGTGCCATTAATATGCAGCTGAAAACCAGGAGGGAGCCAATATTGTGAGTTTTCTGAATTCAATTAAAGACACCAATTCATATCAGCAAACACCCCATTGAGAAGACAGATGAGCCCTTCTATTGAGTCAGACCCCAGTCTATTTGGAGCAAGGAGATCAGCAGGCTCTCTGAGCCTCTTTACACTCATTTATGGTACTGACAACCTTTATTGATCTCTCCTCACAGCTGACCAGAATAGACTATATCTGTTGACGACGGTGTGCAGCTTAACGGCGTCATTGTGAACAGCGCTGCCGTAATCCAATGCAATTACAAGGATGAAAGTGAAGTGTCTTATGGCGATGTGAGGAACAAATGAGGTAAAGAGTGGAATAAACTTGAATGAAGAGTCAAATGACACTCTGTTAGAGTATTACACCGATCAGGAGCAAGATGTAATGTATCTCTAACTCTCTGAACTGTGTCAGTTTTTGTCTTTAGAGCCGCTGGTAAACATACGACATATCATACGCATTATGATGCCTTTAGCCAGCATACACCAGTGAAACCATACAAAGCGCTCGTATGGATTCAATGCACCGGGCCCACAGCACTTCCTGTGTTTCATGATGTGGCGTGTTTTGTGATCCACTTGCAGACGTTGATTTGAAATCGCAGTGACATCAATGACCACGAGCGAATGAGCTAATTTTGCGGCGAGGTGGTACATTGCATTTGTGTCAGAAAGCAGCCGCATGTCATGATGGGACTTGACACAGGGCCTGAAGGGAGGAGGAAAATTGCTCTACTTTATTTTGCGCAGAAACGCTTAAGCTTTTGACCTCATCATTTGTTTGAACGCTTCATACAATCAATCAGAATGAAAACTCCCACGCAGTGGAAAAAGTATTCAGTCTGAAACATCAATGAATGTCAGGAATTGCTTCATAGAGGTGTTTTGTCTAACTTTTAGGATCACACAGACGGTTGAGCTACGTGGGGCGAATATAATAATAATTAATTTACAGAGTGAATCACCGGCGTAAATTTGAGTGTATTAGGGACTAGGTGCTTTGAGGAGCTCAAAATAGAACCAAGATGTCTGCCACCTTCTTCATTTGCCAGTTTTATCGTAGATGGATGCAGTCATTATCCATAATAACATTATTCTTGGGATGAATCCACTCTTCTTGTTAACCGTCAGCCTTTTTCCCCTGAGCCTTCCCCATCCCACATATCATAAATGTAATGGCACTTTCCACAAATAGGGTGCAAATTGGTGCCCCACGACTTTAAAAAAAAAAGCGTTACAGGCACAAATTCCGTGCTTTTATTGTAAGAACTACTGGAAATGTTAGATAAGCATGAAATGTTGGCTAGTTCAAAACACATCAAACGTCTGTATCCCTCCTCTGGCCTCTCCTACTCCAGAATTCTTGATTTTTTGATTGTATCCAACAATTAATATCACACAACATTGTCCTAATTTTGGCCTAATTTATTGAATTTTAATTCATTGTAGTATTTTATTTTATATAAAAGAATAGAACATACAACATCTTATACACTGACATACAATCCTACTAAAATTCTAAATCCTACACTATTTTTTTCAGTGTATGAGCTGTTTTTGTTATATTATTTTATAGAAAATAAAGTAAAATACTACAATAAATTGAATATCAATTCAACATAGGTCAACATTTCTTTGTGATTTGTGATCTAACAATTTCTGAGTGATTCTTGCACAGCTTGTATTTTTCAGTGTATGAGCTGTTTTTCAGTTAATTTCATTTGAAACAATTTTCGCTCAATAATTTCTAGAATATTTTACAAAGAAAATTTGACCTAATGTGTGAATTGATATTCAGTTCATTGTAGTGTTTTACTTCATATATATAAAAAAAATAAAACATAAAACAGCTCATACACTGAAAAAAACTTGGATAGGATTTACTTTATTTGCTTAAATTGCTTGAATAATTCACAAATAATTACAAATACATTTTGAAAATATTATTTTCTTGTAGTATATAGCAAATAGTATTTTCTTGTAATAAATACTCTATTAATCTTATTTACAACATCAAAAGAATCATTTTTAAAGTGAGATTGATAGCCAACATTTTGAGAAGGTTAGGCACACTTTTTTCACTGATCATTTGTTAAGAACAAAAGAAAAAGTGATTTCAAACCTTGTTTTGTATCCTATTCATTGAAAGTGTTTTTAGCAGTGAAAATGTTTAAAACCAGTGCACATTTTTTTTTTTTTTTAAAGAATCCCACATGGCTAGATGAAAAGACTAAGCATCAGCATGGAGTTTCCATTCAAATCTTTTGGGAATTATGTAACCTCTAGCCATTTCTTTACACATGTTAGCATGTATTGTCTAGAAGCTGATTGGGACGCCTTCTGATTGGCATTCTGAAAGCAGGTGTGAAGGGGCTCGAGCCAAGTGTTCCATCTCCTAGCCTCCCTCATGGCCAGAGCAGAGCGAGGACTGTGAGGGGGAGGACAGCACTTGACAGCAGTGACTGCGAGAGTGACGTGGTCCTGCCGCGGCGCATCTGTAATCACCGGGACCCAAAAGCTCTGTCTGTGCTGTCTGGAGAAGTGACACCCGCTAGAACATCGCCCGAACTTCACCACGCCTGTGCGCCTGCGGCTGCAACAACTGAACAACCTGCGCTTTACTGTGATGTATTTGATCGATTTTGGGGCGGAAACAACCTGGAAGGTGACCAAGGAATTGATTACTGCAGTGACACCACTTTAAATGCATCTTTGGTCATTAGAGATGAATATGCAATTAAGCAAAGATCAAGAATGCGACCAAATATTAAAAACCAGTCAATGAAAACCCACATTAAGTAAAGAGTATAGATTTTTCAATTATAAAGCTGTATAATTTGAATTGAATGAGTGTAATAATTATTTAATAAATTCAAGTGCGGTGTCATTTTTGTCAGTTGACGTTCGTCGTTCGACGTTCATCTAACTTTTAGGGAACTTTTTAGTATGCGCTTTTTAGACCCTCACACCAAACTTTGTTTTGACTTCCTTTGAGAGTATTGAAGTCGTGATTATGGAGCCTCATAATTCGCACCATGCGTTTTATATTTTTTTAAAGGCATAAAGCTTAAACAATGGGGAAATTTTAAATATAATATAAATAATCAAAAAGAAAAGATGAGAGAAGATCAATATGGAGGACCTTAAAATACTCCTGGTTTGTATGCATCTTCTTTCACACACATACACACTCAAGGACGCACACATACACACACACCACGATGACTCATTCAAACCGAAAACTGTTCACTTACGTTCATTCAAGTCAACTCTCTCTCCCCTCTGCGCAGACGCAAGCTACTAAATGCGTGACACTTGTCGCTGACCGTGGCTATATAAATGCAAACTCCAGCCTTCCTTTTAAGAAGTCCTAAAAGTAATAACTTGGTAGGTAACAACTGGAAGACAGACGCACCTCGCAAAGTTCAAAAACCATCCAAGGATATACCAATTACGCACAGGTACGCAACATCTTATCTGGAATGAGACAGCTCATATTGAGGTAGCCTAGTAAACGTCAGGTAATAACATCTTAAACTGGTAATATTCATTCTAGTTAGTTTGTATTGCTATGGATGCGTCCTCGTGTTTTGCGCACAATGAGGCACCCAGCTATCCAACTTTAAGGCGCGCGTAAATGCTCAAGTGGACTTAGAAATATATAATTGTGCAATGCTAATGTCCAGTAAGAGCGCTTTAAACAAATTGGATCTGTCAAGATTTGAGCTTCGTCCCAGAGTGTGCAAAACAGTTGCTGAGAAGTTGAAATCGTGCGCATAATTTACTCACTTCTCCCGCAGATTCTCCACGCCACTTTTTGACATGAAGCTCAATTTTCTCGTCACCACCGTGGCTCTGCTCGTTGCCTTTCCACCACCGTATGAATGTAGAGCCATCGAAAGAAGCTCCAACCAGCCAGCATCGGACCCCGATGGAGAGCGACAGTCGCCGTCGGTTTTGGCACGCTTAGGGGAGGAGTACTTCATCCGGCTCGGTAACAGAAACCAGAATTCTCCCCGATCCCCAGCCGACAGCTTCCCCGAGACATCCCAGTATTCCAAAAGAGCACTGCAGCTCCAGTTAACGGAGCGTCTGTTGGAGGGGAAAGTTGGAAACATCGGCCGCTTGGATGGCAATTACGCGCTCCGGGCGCTTGACTCAGTGGAGAGAGAGCGCAGGTCGGAGGAGCCGCCGATTTCCCTGGATCTGACCTTTCATCTGCTACGAGAAGTACTGGAGATGGCCAGAGCCGAACAAATGGCCCAGCAAGCTCACAGCAACCGCAAAATGATGGAAATATTCGGGAAGTAACCATGAGCAAACCCATCAGCCAAAGATATTTTTACATTTAGCACAAACATGAATATGCTGTACCATAGTGCTGCTTTTCCATCATGATCTATTTATACCGGTGACTTATTTATTTGTAGATATTTCAATGAAGGCGAATAGAGTACAGTAGGTGTATATGAAGCGCAAAACTGTCATCACTCTCCATCAATGTTATTGTATAAGTGATCATTCAGAACTGTAGATGAAGAAAACGTTTGAGTTTCTTTAAAAAAGACAATATTTTCCAGTACTGTATTATTCATTTATTTTATCTGACAGACTTGAGTTTCATTGTAACACAGTACATTGTCTAAGTTTGTTAATAAACTAATGAGCAACCATTAATTTTTGTTGTGCAAGAGAATGTCTTATATTTATATTTTTCAATAAAACTTTGAAAGCCAGTTTGACACCTCTTGTCTAGATTATTGACATGAAAAAGTTATTAAATAATAAAAAATACATCTACTTATATTTCACAGTCATTGCGTAAAATGTATTTATCAATGCATTAAAACGTTGTCAAGATAACTGCAAACTCTTACATTTTTTAAATAACTTTAAGGATCAATAAACGAAGGTCATCCAGAGATGATTGACAGATATGGCATCTTGTTTCTGATTGGTTTAACTTTTTTTTTACCACTTCCCTTCAGAAAATTGAACCTAACAATTAAAAAAAAAAGCTCAAACAAGTCATAAACACATATAAGGTACCTCTGAGTATATTGCACATATACACAGAATTATTAAATCAATATACTTGCTGACGCTCAATTACACTAATGTAATAAAAAAAAAAGACTTCAAAATTGAATTTTTTTCTGTCTTTGAAAAGATAATTCACATTCTTTGGGCAAAATGTTAATGGGGAAAAAATTGAGTAGACATGACCATGATTACAAAGGCAACTGATTATCAAATGCAGTATAAACACTGTTGATGACTGAAACGTTTCACATCAAACCAAATAACTGATGTGTGGTGACTCATTCTACAGCACTGGAGATCTTGGTTTCACTGAACCATGTCCTAAACTAAATGGGTGAAGCACATCTAAATTTGATCAATAACTCAAATGTGAACTAACAAGGCACCTTATGTTTTACGCAGCACCACAGACTCAGTTTCACTAGGATTCATTCATTGCAGAAGGTGGAAGCCACACATGGTGAGACGAGTGTTGTTTTGGGGTTGTGCTCCCTGGACCTCATTAAGTTGGTTGTAGCCGTTCTCTGTGTGAAGCCAGAAGCACATCCTGTCACTGATCACCCTCCACTGGGCCAGAATATATGGATTATGCAATGTGCTGGCATTGTTATTTCAGCTCGACCACCGAGATGTGCGAGCAACACTTGTTTACACTTCGCCTACAAGACCAGGGGAAGACAACCCTGTGAGCAAAGAGATGTGGCGATTACTTCCACGCTTTGCCACGGATGTTTCTTCATGTAGATTAGGCATCTGCTGTATATGTGATACACCAATGCTTTTGGAACTGAACTGGATGTTGGTTTGAATTAAATCTGTTACAAATGATTACACTACATAAGGGTAACCTTTTATTTGATGTTGACGTTTCTAAATATGAAATCCAGAGAATATTTAAAGCGAATCATATCATTCATAACTCAAACACCACTGCTGTGCCAACTGCAATGAAAATACCATGCGAACACTCCCTACGCAGTAAACAACACCACAAATCTTGGAAGGGTTTCTTAAGTCATCTCCATTTATATTTAGTCATCTAGTGACTTTTATTAAGGAGTTACTGAAACAGAAACAGTACCAGTACCTGAAAGTCACTGGTAAAACAGTCAGTGTCCATATTGTTTTGAACAGGTTGCAAAATGAATGTTGGATCAATATTTGTGTTTGTGAAGTTATGATGATGTGGCGGGTTTGCGTGTGCTCGGGATGTGGGGGAAGAAGGGACGGAAGGGCTTCATTCAGTGAATCCACTTCTCCCGAGGCTGTTTGCCCTGCCCGGCATCGACACCCATCTCATCCTCATCCTCCTCCTCTTCATCATCTGCAAACAATGAGAGTTTAAAGGAATAGTTCACCCAAAAATGAATTTGCTGACAATTTACTCACCCTCAGGCCATCTAAAATGTAAATGATTTTGTTTCTTCATCGTAACAGATTTCAAGAAATTTAGCATTACATCACTTGCTCACCAATGGATCCTCTGCAGTGAATGGGTGCCGTCAGAATGAGAGTTCAAACAGCTGATAAAAACATTACAAACTGATAGGCTGGAGTCATGTGGATTACTTATGGATTATTGTAATTATCCATAAGTAATCCACATGATTCCAGCCTACCAGTTATCATCCTGTGAAGTGAAAAACTGTGTTTGTAAGAAACAATCATTAAGGTGTTTTAACTTTAAAAGGTTGCTTCTGGCCAAAATACTAGTACATAAAAGCTTCCACCAGTTAAAAAGTTCATTGTGTGTTGTTGTAATCTCACATCAAAATCCACTGACACATTTGTTTAGAATTGTTTTTGCTTATAAACAATGCTTGATCTCTGCATATTTCTCTCCTGTTTCAGACGAGATGACCTTTTCACTGGAGGAAGCAATATTATGAATAGAGAACTCACATTTTTTTTAACCAGATGTGAAGATTTTAAGTTAAAAATGTTTTAATGATGGATTTGTTTCTTATAAACATGCAGCTTTTCACTTTACAAAATGTTAATTGATGGGCTGAAGTCGTGTGGATTACTTGTGGATTGTGATGTTTTAATCAGCTGTTTGGACTCTCATTCTGACGGCACCCATTCACTGCAGAGGATCCATCGGTGGGCAAGAAATTTAATGTTAAATTTCTCCAAATCAATGAAGAAACAAACTCATCTACATACTGGATGGCATGAGGGTGAGTAAACTTTTAGCAAATATTCATTTTTAGGTGAACTATTCCTTTAACATATAAAATGGAAAAGTTGCATTTTCTCAAACCAATCTGAATGTGAAGATACCATCAACCGCATACTGATCACATACAATACTGACCATTTTTAGCATCACATTTCTAGTGGATTTTAGAAAACTGACTGGCAAATCTGTTTAATAAATACTTGCATTTGAACTGGTTGCTCGTTGAGTCACAATCTGAAAACATGCTTAAGAGGCTTCTGAATAGCACATGAAAACGAAACGTTATTTTCTTAATCAATTCATCAAGCTAACCTGATTTAAACCCACACATGTTGATAGTTGAAGTTGAATCAGGTTAATGAGCATTTCAGGTGAGCCGTACCTCTGGCGAAGTCGATACTGCGTAGGGCCCTGCCCTCTCTTTTGAAGCTCACAGAGTAATGATCCATGTTCTCATAGCCACGCTCCACTCTCTCCAGGTGCGAGGTATTTGATGCCTCTGCAATTCTAGCAAACAAGAAATCAATTTGTGTGTTTGTTCAAAATACACATTAATGTTGCAGAAAGAATCAACACTTACTTTTGCAAGAGGGGTTTGGCATTCTGTATGGCATGTGTCAGAGAAAAAGAGATTTATTTCACAACAAGATAACACAAATTATGTATAAAATATACTGAATTTCTACAGGGTTCCCACAAATTTTTATCAATCTTTTTTTTTAATTATTTTATTAATTATCTCATTCATCGCTGGCATGGATTTCCATGCCAGTCTTTTGAATTCATGGCTTTAAACAATTATAATTAATAGTGTATGAATGCCTCCAATAAGACCCTCAACAGACAGACTTATATTTTCATTCTGGTTTGCAGTCATGTTTTTCTTGAAACAGCATTTGCAAAAATAATTATCTAGATGATTAGATATTTTAGAGCAGCGCAAACAAGAAAACAGTATATTTACAAAAGGTATCCATTTCTAATTTCCATGACTTTTCCAGGGAGTTTTTTTTTTATAAATAATTTTTTTTTTAATAATGTCTTTTTTTTTAATAAATAAATATATCAAAAGTTTTCCATTATTGGGTTCATCCTGTTTCTGTAATCTGTTGTAGGTATAAAGGACCTGTAAGAAAACAGCCATCTCAGGTTCTTCCATTGTCTGGATTCCTGTCTCCATGATTTTGGTCATGGACTCCAGATGATCTCCATACTTCCTTGTGAGGCCACGTATGTAATTCAGTTTCTCTTCCTGTTCAGCGTTCACTTTCAGGTTCATCTGTCTCTTCCTGTCTTCCAGGATGGCGTACAAATGGTCAAACTTTTCACACACCTTGGATTTTTGTCGCCTGCCATTTTCCTGTAAATATATAACAAATGTAAATATAATATAGATTAAAATACATTCATGTCCATAACTGTACAGTATGCAATAGATATAGTGCATATATATTTATATTATATAAAGTACTGTTCAAATATTTGGGGTCAATTACAGTTTTTTTTTTAAAGAAATTAATATGTTTAATCAGCAAGGATGAATAAAATTGATCTGAAGTGACAATAAGGATTTACGTTGATAAACAATTTATAATGTTACACAATTTCAAATAAATCTGTTTATTTTATTCAAAGAATCCTGAAAACAATGTACCACAGATTCCAGAAAAATATTAAGCAGCAACTGTTTTCAACATTAATAATAAGAAGAAATGTTTCTTAAGTCGCAAATCAGCATATTAGAACGATTTCTGAAGCACCATGTGAAGACTGGAGTAATGACTGCTAGAAATTCAGCTTTGCCGTCACAGGAATAAATTACATTTTAAAATGTATGAAAATAGAAAAGTTATTTTAAACCATAATAATATTTCACAATATTTCTGTTTTTGCTATATTTTTGGTCAAATAAATGCAGCTTTGGTGAGCATAACAGACTTCTTTTAAAAACATTTAAAAATCATACTGATTCCTAATTTTTGAGTGATATATAGCATATAATCATAATTTTACTAAAGAATGACACTTTGTAGGCTACTATTGGGCGATTGGAACACAACCGTTATGTTTGATGTAAATCACTAACTATGGACCACCAAATTTTAAGATTAAGGTTTAAAATGTACTCTGTAAATCAAT